CCTTCCATAATAAAACATGCTTTTGCACACTCAAATTGCAAGATCTAAATACACGATCCATAAACAGATGCTGGTTGTGAATCGTACATGAATGCTGTGTTCTTATTTGCAAATAAATAAGCAGTATTACTTACAAAATTAAGTGCTAGCCACTGTCTTCTGCATGTCAAAGTTTTTTTTCCTAACAAAAATTCCACCTGTGAATACACAGAATCCTGTTAATCACAGACAGACTCACAGAATCCACAAAATGGCTTTTAAAGGATTCACTTGCAATACAACATTGATTCCATTTGAATTTCAGCCAAGAACATCTCCCAGCATTTTTACAATGTGTTTAGCATTCATTTATGTGTAAATTGCATACATTAATTTCTTTGTTATTTTTCAGTGTGAGTACACTTGAGATGGACACATGCCACCATTGCAAAACTATTGCAAAGGAAAAAAAATCAACTTAGAAAAAGAAATGGGATCAAAGTTTGAATCACATTTACCTCATCGCCTATTCAGTTCTCATTATGCCAAACTCTCAGGGAGAGCGAGTGGCCTTAACTTCCTAGTCTTCAATCAGGCTAGGCCAGTTTATGCAAATTAAATATCTTGTGATGACGTGCTGAATTTGAAGGGTTAAAAACAAGCAAACAAAAACCACCGAGGAGTTTCTGCTGAAATCCGCCCCCAGGGCATCTCAAATCCGGAATTCCATCTCCTCCCATTACACAGGACTGGACTACGATGCCAGACCTTCTCCTTAACTTATCATTACAGACAAAACGGATGAAGCAGGGACTGCTTTGCTCTTATAGCTGCCCACAGCAGACCAGAGAAACAGTGAAAACCCAAAAAGCAGCTGAGCAAGAGGGGACAAAGAACTGTTACCCCACTATAGTAGCTTTACTGATGCGTAATATAATGAATTTGCTTTTCTGTTAATATAGAAAAAGATAAACAATGCAACTATGTATGCCTAAGCTGCCTAAGCTTCTCCTACACATTACACACGCAAGCCCATTTCCAAGTTCTTAATCAGGAAATGCAATCCAAGATTTAAAGCTCAGATGTTATGATGAACTGATGGAAAACCAGCTGCCAATTACAAACACTCTACAGTTGCATCTCTGAGGCAAAAATAAGATGACTTCATATTACAACAAACATTTCATAGCTTTGTTATCCTTAAACACCAGCAGCCAATTGCTCCAAATCAATGGAAAATGCACATATGCAGCTAAAAAGAGACAAGAAACGTCACAAAATGAAAAACACACAGAACTGAAGCTTCAATGATTTCAATATAGATGACCAAGACCAAATTAAAACCTTAGTACTTCACAATCACCTTTAAACATTACTTTGGAAAAAAACAAACAGACTCACAACTTTCTTCTGGAAAAAAACAGTCAGAAAACTACTTTTCCTTGAGTAGGAAAGCAGAAGAAAAGAAAAAGAAGGCATATTGGTTGAAAAAAAATGTGAGAATGAGGAAACAAAAAGAACACTATTTGCAGAAGCTAGAGACACACAGCAGGCTTGAGAGCTGGCTCCCAAACTGCCATCCTCAGCACTCAGACTCAGCAAGCAGGCAGATCACCAGGCAGACCGCAGCCCCAGCAAGGGTGGGTGGAAAAAGGAAATACAGGCAAATTTGCAGGTGAAAAGGAACTCTGGAGACCAAAAAACTACTGGAGTTCCAAGTGTAGAGAACACCGTTCTGGTATTAGAAGGTGGATTCTGACTCCACAGCTTGGGTAGCCCTCTAATGCTCTAGGTAACAGATCCCTTCGGGATAGGTTTCTTCATTCCCTTCTTATATTCCTCCTCATAACCTTCTGTTATTGCATTACATTATACATATATTGCATTTTGCTTCACTGCTGTGCCCAAGTGCAACACTTCATAGCATCATGTCATTGCACCACTCCACGGTAATAAAACACATACCTGCCGCACAACCAAGATGAAACTTCACAGTGCTACAGCCCTTTCATGGCTATTTGTTTTTCATTCTGAATATTCACATCAAGGTGTAATTCACAAAGGCTTTTTATGCTCTCTGGTCAACTTTATTGTAGCAGACACTGAACAAGACTTCCCTTCTGGTCTCTTCTTTCAAAAAGTAGTTAAGAAACCAGCAAAAAAACAGGACCGGGGCGTTCCGAAAGGCCCACTTCAGGTGGCCCTAGCTAAGCCCTGAGAGCTACTACTATTAAAGGGCCACCATAAAGCTGCTTTCAGAGCTCTGAGATATTTTTGCTTAAAAGAAATACTTCTCGTGATTATTTCTGTCAACATTATCTATCGAAAACACTGATGGCTCAGTTAATATCCTTTTTGAACAGAAGCATAACTGACTAGCTGCCCCCAAATACTTAAACTGACTTCTAGCTCTGAATTTCAGACACAAAAAAAGCTTACAGTTACGTAATGATTTGATCTCCCCCAGCTGATGTGACGATGAAACAGACTGCAGTGGGAAAACAACTTTGTTGCCTTATTCATTTATTATTCATATTTAACAATGAATTAAAACCCTGATGATAACCCTAAAAAATCAGATTGATAATTATCACACCTTGAACTATCTCTTCACTAGACCAGCTTAATGAAAAGCACATGTTGCAAATACTTTTCTTCCAGAAGTACAAATCCTAGTAGCAAACAGAACTTTTTTTTTTTAAATGAAGAGAAATTATTCCACCTTCAATAAGGCATCTGGAACATGAAAGAACGGCCCAAGGCTTCTGAGAGACACTCAGTTTGTAATTAAAACTCAAGTGCTGAAAAAGACCATAGTCAAATTAACAAATTGAATTAAAGCATGACATCAGTCAAGCCTATTCCAACAAAAATACAAGCGTTAAGAGAGTTTACAGTTACTCTTTTTTCACCACAAGAACAGACAGCTAATAAAAGTCAGAATATCAAAACTCCTGCATAAAACCTCGCCCAGCTAAAATCATGTTTACATTCATAACTCAAAAGCACAGAAGGCCTTTGGCCTCACCGTCCCATACCATCAAAGCCCCCTCTCAACAGCAGATCTGTACTAGTGCTTCCCAAAGAAACATCATAATGCAAATATAATCCTTAGACAGCAGGAAATTATGCTTGGTTACTTCAAAAGAATAAGCTAGCTAATCATTATTTTTACATACATTTAAAAGAGTTACGTTCAATTCTTGATCCAAACCGGCCTATGTTGGCACTGCCAGTTTCACCAAAGGAAGGCAGCAGGACAGGGCAGCGGCCTCCAGCACCTGCAGCAGCAACGCGGCCGCCTCGGCCTCCCTGCAGGCGCAGGGGGAGCGACAGGGAATTTCCTCCTCTCAGACACCACAACTTGCATTTAACAGCTTTCAGATAACTTTCATCACAAGTTTCACCCTCAAATAAGGCACTAGTTTAGTGGGAGGGACTTCAGTAAAACTCATGTTCACCTAGAACTAAACGCTCGGTCTGCTGTTAGTTTAATGTTCAAATGCGTAAGGTTCAACTGAAAGTAAAGGTACATGAACTATTGAACCATTCAGGAAGAAAACACAAGCAAACAAACAACAAAAAAACCACACTCATCTCACAAGTCAGTATCTAAATTCTAAACCACAGTATCTCTATAAAACAATTTAGTTTTACAACTTAAATATAATTCCTGATTTCAGTGGAAGTTGCATGAAGGAGACGAAAACACCTATTACTCCTAGGGCATTAAAAATCACAATTCTTTGGTCAAACACCAATCCCCACCAAGGCAAAATTCTGAGAAAAGTGAGTAGCATCTCAAAAACACATTAACTTATCAAAGAAAGTTGTGCACCAAAGCTCTGCTTTTAAACTTTTATTTTTTTAAAACAAACAAACAAAAAAGTCCTCCACTTAAGAAAATTAGGTTGTTCCCATCTTACATTTCATAATACAAATCTGGAAAAGCCCTATAAAAAAAAAACAAAACCAAAAAAAAAACCCACGCAAAGACAGGACTTCAGCCAAGTACTCAGCTCCATATTGCTGTAGTTGTAACTCAAGTCCCTTTAAAACTTTCAGCTGTTTGTATGGAGAACGGGTTTGGAACACTAGCAGCAATAGAAAAGAACCTTTTGAATCCTCGACATAGTTACACTGTTGAGTGAAAAGAAGCAGAAACCTCCTCTCCACCCCATTAGAACATAATAAAGTTTTATGTAAAAGTATGATTTAGTTGGTAGCTAGAAAAACAGTGCTGAAGTGCTATCCCAAAGGTTACACGCACCCACGGCAGTCAAGAGATGTCCTTTTTCCCCCGCGACTTAAGCATCACAACTACAGCCTTGCTCCAAACACCCGTCAGGCAGCCCTCGGTCTGCCTCGGCTCTCCGCTCTTTGCCACCCTCCTCCAACAGGCAGAATAGAGGAACTTTAAATAATCGCTACTTCCAAATTCAGCTGATCTGCACAAATACACTGTTGAACAAAGTCTGGACAGCAAACAGTACACCTGAGTTCAGTCATACAAACTAATTTTTGTAAATAATGTTAAATGAATATATCTATGTTCCTGATATGAATCTAGGTGTATTTTCTTACAAAATGCATTAATAGAAATACCCAGGCAAATACATACCGTACAATAGCAAAAGCTTTAAGCCCCATTTAATAAGATGACTTTTCCATTAAAAATAGAAGGCAATTAAGATTTACTCAAAATTACAATTAAGAAAAGCTTTCACAGTGCAATATTGAAACTGTCACAAAGTTAAGAAAATACTGATATCAAAGTACAATCACAATGTTAAAATAGACAAAACTACTATACAAGGGCATCTTGTAAAATTAAAAGGAACGAACACAACATAGGGGACACGTCATGTCCCATCTCTACATATCTGGTGTCTTAGTCTTCAGAGCCATAATTGCATCTTTCTCTTTCTGACATTGTAGAAGTCTTGTTATAACCAAGAGGTTCATTCTTCCTCGCAGGACGACGTTCTGATCATGATTCCTTCTCGAAAGCACCTTCTTCCTCACTGCACAATTTCGAAGTAGTGCAGTATTGCCATGATGTGCTGAGGCATGAACACGTAGCCCGTGTACAGGGCCATTCCGACAATGGAAACCAGCAGGGAATCTGAACGGCCAATAAGGAAAAGGGCATCTAAAAGTGCTTTGGAAGCACATAAGCAAAGAACTGAAACCTTCACGTCACTTATTTCATAACGTTGCACTTAAAATCATAAGCGGTCAACTGCACTCAACTATTGTAGCTCTAGGAAGAGCCTACAGGAATATGAAAACCAGAGCCCCAGCAGCAGGCATTAACTGAATTATGGAAGGATGTCCTGCTAGTTACCTACTGCCTTGTCAGAGACACAAAGCACAGACCTGTGTGGCAAGGTAGAAGGAGGAAGAGAAACCTGGCAGGGAGAAGACAGGAAGCTTCACATGCACCTTCTTGGGCATTAGCAAATCTTCCAAATGCCACATCAACCAAAAAATAAATATATATATATATGTATGTGCATGTGTGTGTGTATACACATACACAGTGTGAGAGAGAGAGAACAGCTGCTGCAAAATGAACATTTTATATTTTGAAAGGAAAAATAGAAAAAAAAATAGATGAATGGCTACATGAAAAATTCTACTTCTAGATAGTCTACTCCTTTTTAAAAAAAAAAAAAAACAGTCATTAAATGCTAGCCTCAAACTCTTGGAACAGAATAATCTAGGGAAATTTAATTTCTGAAGCACAACTGCATATCTGCTGAGGAAAGGCCACTGCTGGTTCAATTAAGTCAGTAGACCTGAAACCCATTTCCAGGTGCCAGCTGCAGGCTTTAAGTCACAAAACTGTTTGTTCATGTCTCCATCTCCGTATCATGATCCCGCCCTTCCTCACAGGCAAGAAGTTCACTTTATGTGCTGCTTGACAGCACTTACAAAACCAAAATCCCCGGGGAAATGAGAAGCCTGAGTAATGCTGCCACGCACATTCCTAGCCGTGGCAATGGCAGAGCATCCGAGCACGGCTGGAGCTCAGCTGCGTCTTTAAAGGAGCAAATAAACAGCCCTTCGGTGCAGCGGGTCACACTGCGAAACAGAGCTTGCATGAACCTATCTGCAAACCAATTTTAAGATGACTATTTATTAGTTTAACCGAGAACAAAGACCTCTTGTAAAACTTAAATAAAGAAGTCAGATGATAGCTTGTAATGTATACATACAACTAGACCTTTGTCCAGCTCTGGGATTTTCAAAGCTCTGTCCATAGAAATAATGGTAGTGGATTACTCAAGGATCACCCCAACTAAAAACTTAAGGTTTCAGAAACTCAAAAGAATTATTCTAAAACAAGCAATAACTTTTGATTTCACCCAAGTACATGTAATGATTCAGTCAACTTGGGCAGAAACAACACTATAAAGGGCATTTAAGATTAATGAGCCTGATAACACTGGCTAACAGTACTCAGTTTCCAGGGGTGAAATCAGAGGAGCTGCACGTGCTCGGCAACCCGGAGAAACCAAGTTCCACCAGCATGTGCACAAGAGAGGCTGCTTGACCGATCTCCCTGCTACAGAGGTCTTGGTCATGCTCATTAGAGCATACCAGCTTCCCGGCATATTTTTAGTCCCAGGAGAAGACTACACAAGGCGAGATACTAAACTGAAGGTCAGCTCACAGAGCCACCTTTCAGCATTGGTGACACTGGGCACACAGGTACCGGGGGACACGGGCCCGGGTTCATGCTGTGCCTGCACAGCACCCACCGAGGCAGGAGCGGACCAGGGACCCAGGCGAGAAAAACAAATAAAAAACAAAATAAGTTTCATTCACTGGCCTGGGATGGCAAGTGACACAACATTTGTGTGTTAAGCAGCAATTCACTACAATAAGAGTGCTTTATAACAACAGGTAATAAAAATAAGCACCTTTACTTAAATATTTGGCCCAGGCTAAAAAAGCTGCAAGGTTAGAACACGTGGAAAGACCACGCACGGGTGGCAGGAAGGCAGGCGGCAGGCTGCAGCCCAAGCCCCGCCAGCGCTGCGAGCGTGCCACGAGCGCCAGCGCGGAGGG